GTTTTGGCTATTTGGGTCCCCTGCAATGCCATATAAATTTGATAATCGGCTTTTCCAATTCTCCAAAATAAACAAATAAAAAGGCTGTTGGAATTTTGATAGGGATTGCATTGAATCTGTAGATCGCTTTGGGTAGTATTGATGTCTTAACAATATTGTCTTCCTATTCATGTACACAGGATAGCTTTCCATTTATTTAGATATTCTTTAATTTCTTTCAGCCATGTTTCATAGTTTTCAGTGTACCAGTCTTCTCCTCCTTGGTTAAATTTATTCTTAGGTATTTTATTCTTCCAGATTCTATTGTAAATGAAATTGCCTCTTTAGTTTCATTTCCAGAATGTTAATTGCTACTGTTTAGAAACACCACAGATTTGTGTGTGTTGACCTTGTACCCTAAACTTTGCTGAATTCATTTATTAGCGCTGGCAGCTTTCTTGTGGATTCTTTGGGATTACATATTATAATCTATATATAGATTACTGTCTCTCTATATATTACATATACTATATATTCAGTCACCTGCAAATAGATAGTTTTACGTTTTCTTTTCCAATTTGGATGCCTCTTATATTTTTGCATAATTTTGGCTAGAACCTCCAGTACTAAGTTGAGTAGCAGTGGTGAAAGTAGCATCCTTGTCTTGTTCCTGATCTTAGGAGGAAAGCTTTCAGTCTTTCACCATATTAGCTGTAGGTTTTTCATAAATGCCCTTTATCATGTTGAGGAAGTTCCCTTCTATTCCTAATTTACAGAGTTTTTATCATGAAAGAATGTTGGATTTTCTCAAATGCCTTTTTTGCATCAGTTGAGATAATCATGTAGTTTTTTCTCTCTTATTCTATTAATGGGATATATTACATTGATTTTCTTATGCCAAACCACCCTTGCATTCCTGGGGCTAGTGTCAGTCTTTTTTTTTTTTTCCTTATTTTATTTATTTATTTTTTGTGAGGAGAATCAGCCCTGAGCTAACATCCATGCTAATCCTCCTCTTTTTGCTGAGGAAGACCAGCTCTGAGCTAACATCTATTGCCAATCCTCTTCCTTTTTTTTCCCCCAAAGCCCCAGTAGATAGTTGTATGTTATAGTTGCACATCCTTCTAGTTGCTGTACGTGGGATGCGGCCTCAGCACGGCCAGAGAAGCGGTGCGTTGGTGCACGCCCGGGATCCGAACCCAGGCCGCCAGTAGCGGAACGTGCGCACTTAACCACTAAGACATGGGGCCGGCCCCATCTTTTTAATTTTACTTACTCTAGCAGGTGTATGGTGGTATCTCATTGTTCTAATTTGCATTTTCTTGATGGTTAATGATATTCAGCACCTTTTCATGTGGTCATTAGCCATTTGTATATTTTCTTTTGTAAAGAGTGTTCAAAGTTTTTTGACTGGGTGGTTTGTCATAATTTTGAGTTGTACGAGATCTTTATATACTCTGAATAGAATACAATACAACAAATGTAATGTGAATATTTTTTTCCCAGTCTTCAGCTTGCTTTTTCATTTTCCTAACCATGTTGTTCAAAGAGCATGTTTTTAAAGTCTAGTTAATTTCTTTTCTTTTATGGTTTGTGTGTATTTTGTGTTCTAAGAAATCTTTGCTTACCCAAAGTTTCCAAAGATTTTCTCCTGTTTTCTTCTAGAAATTTTATGGTTTTAGCTTGTACATTTAGATCCATTTATTTAGAGTTAATGTTTAATGTGTTGTGTGAGGTTTATTTTATTCCCACGAGGTATTATTTGTTGAAGACTTCCCACTCCCCCTTGCACCTTGGCACCTTTGTAGAAGGTCATTTGTACATACACATGTGGACATATTTCTGGGCTATCCTTTCTCCATACCACAGTTTGATTATTGTAGCACTCAGTCTTGGAATCAAGAAGTATAAGTCATCCAATTTTGTTCTTTCTAACCATTTCATTGGCTATCTTCTAGGTCACTTGCATCTCCACACAAATTTTAAAATCAGCCTGTCAATTTCTAAAAATTGCTGGAATTTTGATAGGGATTGTGTCAGGTCTATGGATCAATTAGGGAAGAACTGACATCTTAATAATATTGAATCTTCCAATCCATCAACAGATTACATCTCTCCACTTATTTAGGTCTTCTTTCTTTTCCTCTCAGCAATATTTTATAGATTGCACTGTATAGATTTTGCACGTTTTGTTAAATTTCTAAGTATATCATGTTTCTGATGCTATTGTAAGTGAAATGAATTTTTATTCATTTAGTCATGATTTTTAACTTCATGTTCCAATTGTCCATTGTTAGTATACAGAAATACTATTGATTTTTTTGTATATTGACCTTGCATCCTGTGACCTTGCTAAACTCACTTATTCTGATAGCATTTTATAGATTCCTTAGGATTTTCTTCATAAACAATGGTGTCATTTGCAAAAAGTTTTATTTCTTCCTTTCTAATCTGTACGCCTTTTACTCCTTTTCTTGCTATAAGACATCCAGTACAATATTGAATAGAAGTGGTCAGAGTGCACATTCTTGCCTTGTTCCTGACCTTAGGAAGAAAAGCATTTGGTCTTTCTCTGTTAATTATTTGATATTAGCTGTGGGTTTTTCAGAAACGCCTCCCTTTGATCAAGTTGAGGAAGTTCACTTCTAGTCCTAGTTTGCTGAGAGTTCTTATCATGAATGCTGTATGAATTTTACCCATTTATTGGTCTGATAATATGATTTTCTTTCTTTCATTTGCTAAAATGGTGAATTACATGAGTGATTTTTAAATTTTAAACCAACATTGTATTCCTGGGGTAAATTTCACTTGGTCATGATGGTCTGTTATCCTTTTTGTGTATTGTTAAGACTGAATGTACTAATATTTATTAAGGATTTTTGTGTTTAAGTTCATGAGTGATATTGGTCTTTAGTTATCTTATTTTCTTTGGTTTTGGTATCAGAGTAATATTGGTCTCATGAAATGAAGTGGCAAGTATACTCTCCTTTCTGAAAGAGTGTTTTGTAGGATGGGTATTATTTCTTACTTAAATAATTGATAGAATCTATTGAGGAAGCACCTGGACCTGGAGTTTTGTGAGAAGGTTTTCAATTGTGCTATTCAGACTTTCAATTTTGAAGAAGGTTCTTGCTGAGAAGCTTTCCACCGTTGGAAAGCCCACCAGCTGTTTATGCTACAAATGCTAACTAGAAGTGAAAAGTAATTATTACTAGAACTTTGTGAGAAAAGATTCATGTCTATCAAGTTGCTATGCAGGTGGCCTAGATAGAATTTTACTTTTATTCCTAATAGTGCATGACCTCTGGTAGGGAAGAGTGAGCAAGTTTCCATCCCCACGGGTAGCACGATCCTCAATTTCTTCATTTTTATTCCCCCTTCACAAATACGTTTACCTCACCAGACACTAACTTCTTTAAGCTGGTACCATTTCTTGTTTCTGGAGCCCCAGCACCCAGCTCAGTGCTAGGTACACTGCAGGCATTCAAATGTTTGTGAAGGTACAGACAGCGATAAACACTGCTCATGGTTCTGCACGGATCTCATGGCAACAGACAAAAAGTCGAGTTTAGGAGTAGCTCTTCTTAGAACCAGGGAGGAGAGATGCCCATAGGTTCCCATACCTTTTCCCTCAGTGGCTAAACCTAGGGAGATTTAAATCATACTAGAATTCCTTAAGGAAATTTTTAACTCACTGTTGCTTTTACAGGGTTAGTACATGAGGCTTTTTGTTTATTTTTGAGGTTGTTAAAATAGAAGGCACTAGAATTTGTGCCATAAACCCTAGATCACTCTTATTCTTTTTGAAGATGGAGGCAACATGATAGAATGGAAAGTATACTGGATTTGGGAGTTACAAGCCCTGGACTTGAGGGATGTGTGTTTACTGATCTAAGCATCAAATGAATAAACGTGAAAACACTATAACACTGCATAAACAAATATACAAGAGTGAATTAATATTGAGTGCATAGAAATTAATAAGAGTTATACAGGCCATGTCAGTGGGAAGACAAAAATTCAGTCTTCTCTGAATTGGGAGTAAATGCTACAAAGCCAGCTTCAGCAACACAAGTTAATAGCTAAAGGATTTCTCTGTTCTTTTGCCACCTTCCTTCTTTCACTTCTTAATTCCTACCCCTTCTCCATCTGCCACTCCCACCTCATACCCCCAGCCACTCCCACCCCTTCTCTACCTGCCACTCCCACCCATATCCCCATGCCACTCCCACCCCATATCCCCCTGCCACTCCCACCCATAAACCCCTGCCACTCC